GATTATCCTTCTGTTAATGAAAAACAACTCACACACGAAGAACCTAGTTCCTGCTTTAGTGAATGTCTTGACCCTTATGCAAAAGATATTCCACACATAGGACATCCTCTAGACCAACCCCCAAGAGTAGGTATCTCTAAAACTGGAGAGGAACCCTGTATTTTTCCTATGGCACAAAAACTCAAAAACCTCCAGAAAACTCTTGACAACGAGAGAGAGAGATTTGAAACAGAAAAGAGAGGTTTTGAGAGTAACTGGTAGGAACTTCTTCATAAGTTCAATGAATTAAGTGAGCAATATCATGCTAAAACAACCTCTCAAGCCGCTTCTAATAACAAGTCTGAAAATTCTCACACCTCACCTGAGAAAACTAAGCTTTCAAAAGGTTCGTCCACTCATCACTCTTCTCCTTTGCTCACAGGAAAAGAAGTGAAGAAGGAAGGAGAAGAGAAGAACGAGTGGAGGAAGAAGAGGAAGGAAATCGCAGAAGGGAAAAAGAAAGTTTTTGAAAATAAAGCCAGCTCTAGATCCAGTTCTATTTTGTACTCCAAAGTTAAATGTAATTCTGTCTCTGAGAAACAAACTCCTAGTAGTTCAGTCTTGAGTCCCAAGCTGAATATTTCTGAGACATCTTTTGGACATCGTTCAATTCATAATTCGAGTATTGCTTATGGTTATTCTGTTCCAGACCCTCATAATTATGAATGTGATGTGAATGTTGTTAAAGCAAAGCCTCACAGAAAGCTCAAACCGAAAAGGGAAACCGAGAACAGAACTTCTAAGGGAATATTTTGTATACCTGATATGAAATATCCCCTCCGAGTTCATTCATGGAAACATCTTCATCGGCTTTCTAAGGAGGAAATTTTTAAAACCCAACTTAAGAAACAACCATTCAATCACAAAGCACGTGTCTACTCTCCTCCCACAACAAATAATAGGTGGGTCCCCAAAAACAGACCCACCAAAACTGAAGCTGAAAGGTGGGTCCCCAAGATCAGACCTACCAAGCCTGAAACTGAAAGGTGGGTCCCAAAACTCAGACCCACAAAAACTAAAACTGAAAGGTGGGTTCCCATGAACAGACTCACCAAGACTAAAACGGAAAGGTGGGTTCACAAAAACAGACCCACCAAAATGGAAACTGCTAAGTGGGCTCCAAAAACCAGACCCACTGCAAAAGCAGATCTGGCTATTAGAGAGCCCGCGAGAGAGAGATCTTTTGTTGAGAAAGCTGCTGACCTTGGATCACAGCTAAAAGCAAGATTTAAAAAGGTGTTTTTTGTTAATAAGGAAGGACCCATTCCAAGATGGGTACCTAAACCTGTTTAATTGTTTTGCAGGACGGTCATGTGTGGTACTTAGATTCTGGATGCTCAACCCACATGACCGGAATAAAACACCTGTTGGATATGGGGACGTCATTTGTGCCAGTGTCACCATCAAAGATGTTTCTTTTGTCAAAGGGCTCAAACACAATTTACTGAGCATAGGGCAATTCTGTGACAGCGGGATGGAAGTGAGGTTCTTTGCAAGACAATGTTGTGTTCTAGAAATCATGGGGAATACATTATTAACGTGTTACAGAACTTCAAATCTGTACATGATTGATCTGAAAAGCGTACAATCCACCACCTCCACCTGTCTGCTGTCCAAAGCTTCCACAGAACAGAACAACCTTTGGCACAGACGACTCTCCCATCTGAACTTCAAGCATCTATCAATCTTGTCCTCCAAGAAACTTGTGAAGGGGCTTCCTCTGTTAAAGTCTTCCGCTGAGAATCATTGTAGTGCCTGCAAAATGGGCAAAATGACGCGAAGCTCCCACAAGTAAAAAACAGTACCATCATCTACTCACCAGCTGCAGTTAATCCACATGGATCTGTGTGGACCTATGAGAGTCCAAAGCATCAATGGTCGCAAATACACTCTGGTGATCGTTGATGACTTCTCTACGTACACATGGACAAAATTTCTCCGTTCAAAGGACGAGGCAGCAGAAAACATTGTGACCTTTATCAGAACCATCCAGAAACTGTTACAGCACAGTGTTCGAATAGTAAGAACTGACAATGGTACAGAGTTCAAAAATCAAACTCTCACTGATTTCTATGAATCTCTCGGTATCACTCAGCAATTTACAGCAGCTAAAACTCCCCAACAGAACGGAGTTGTTGAGAGAAAGAACAGGACTCTTGTTGAAGCAGCATGCACCATGTTAATGCAATCCAGACTGCCTCACTTCATGTGGGCAGAGGCAATCAATACTGCGTGCTTCACCCAGAACAGAACATCCATTCATAAACGCTTCGACAAGACTCCTTATGAAATTCTCTTCAACAGAACTCCCGACATCTCTTTCTTCAAGATTTTTGGCTGCAAGTTCTTCATACTGAACGATCGGACAGAAAGAAGTAAGCTGGACCCCAAAGGCAGAGAAGGTGTGTTTATCGGCTACTCACTGCAGTCCAAAGCTTACAGAGTCTATCTAAGAGACAAGCGCACTGTCATCGAGAGTGTAAATGTTACATTCTATGAAATGGCAGACTTTGCAATCGAACATCTACAGGCTCATCCATCACATGCTGTATCAGTGGATTCTGATAAAGCTGATCCGAACTCAGAACACGAAGATGTGATTCTTAATTCTCTTTTCAGAAACTTCTACGAGAATTCACAACCTTCATCTCCTCCATGCACACCAGCTTCAACATCAACTCCAATAGCAGAGATTCCTCTCCTCACAGGTCCAGGTGATGTACCATCCACGCCTTCAACCCCTCAATCCAATCACAGAGGAGTGGATGATCATGGCTTTGCTACAACCCCAGAAACATCTCCACTGCACACCACAGCTGCTCAAGAGCCCTCAAACACCTATCAGGACTCGGATCAACCAATCATTACTCCAACTCCTCTGGCTCATGAGAGGAAATGGACGAAAGCACATCCCGTTGATCAAATTATAGGTGATCCAAGTCAAGGTGTGCGCACAAGATCCGCCACGATGAATGAATGCCACTTCGCCTGCTTCCTAAGCCAGTCTGAACCATCAAAGGTTTCCGACGCACTACTTGATCCAGATTGGGTGATTGCGATGCAAGATGAACTCAATCAATTTGACAGACTGGATGTATGGACACTGGTACCCAAGCCACAGAAAAAGACTATCATTGGCACGAAGTGGATATTCAAAAATAAAAGGGATGAAGAAGGGACAGTTGTATGAAACAAGGCAAGGTTGGTCGCAAAGGGATATAATCAACAGGAAGGCATAGACTATGATGAAACGTTCGTGCCCGTAGCTAGAATTGAAGCAATCCGCCTCTTTCTTGCGTACGCGGCGCACAAAAACTTCACCGTCTTTCAGATGGACGTGAAAACAGCTTTCCTAAATGGGACTTTAGAAGAAGAAGTCTATGTTGCTCAACCTGAAGGATTTGTAGATCCAAGATTCCCAGATCATGTATACAAGCTCAAGAAAGCTCTCTATGGGCTGAAACAGGCACCCAAAGCTTGGTATGATGCCTTGACCGAATTTCTGGTTGATTCAGGTTTCTCCAAAGGTAAGATTGATACTACTCTGTTTATCAAGCGACAGAAATCTGACATCATTCTGATTCAGATCTATGTTGATGACATCATCTTTGCCTCATCCAATCCGCGTCTATGCAAACATTTCGAGAAACTGATGAAAACTAAGTTCGAGATGAGCATGATGGGTGAACTGAACTTCTTCCTAGGCTTGCAAGTACGACAACTCTCTGATGGCATTTTCATCAACCAGTCAAAATATATTCTGGAAATGCTAAAGAGATTCAACATTGACGGCAAATCTTCCATGACGACTCCTATGTCCCCAAATAATAAACTGGACTCAGACCCCTCCGGGAAGCCAGTTGATGCTACAAATTACAGGTCCATCATTGGATCTTTGCTGTATCTCACGTCAAGCAGGCCTGACATTGTCTTCTCCACATGCTTATGTGCTCGATTTCAAGCTAATCCGAAGGAATCCCATCTGACTGCTGTGCGTCGAATCTAACGATACCTTAAAGGCACTGTGAATCTAGGCCTTTGGTATCCTAAGCATTCCGGCTTTGATCTAGTCGGATATTCGGATGCTGATTTTGCTGGTTGCCGGATGGACTGCAAAAGTACATCGGGAGCCGTCCAGTTCTTGGGCGAGAAGTTAGTCTGCTGGTCTTCCAAAAAGCAGAATTGTGTGTCAACATCTACAGCTGAGGCCGAATACGTCGCAGTTGCTAGTTGTTGTTCACAAATATTATGGATGAAGACACAGCTCAAAGACTACGGTTACACATTCCGCCATATCCCGATCTACAGTGACTCACAGAGCACCATCGCCATCACCAACAACCCAGTTCACCACTCCCGTACCAAACACATTGATCTGCGCTATCACTTCATCAAGGATCATTGATATGTACTTTGTAAGCTCAGAGCTTCAACTGGCTGACCTGTTTACTAAGGCATTGGATGAAAAAAGATTCCAGTTCCTAGTCTCCAAGTTGGGCATGTTGAACCTCGAGCCTGTTTAAATTTCATCTCCACTGGTTTGAAAAATGTGTGTGTGTGGGACTTGTAAAAAGCGTGTGCGGGTGTGATATGTAAATAGTGTGTGTGTGTTGCATGTGTCAAGGGGGAGAAAACCCAAAAAGAACCAAAAAATAGTGTGTGTGTGTGTTGCATGTGTCAAGGGGGAGAAAACCCAAAAAAAAACAAAAACAAAAATAGTATGCGTGCGTTGCATCTGTCCATAGTGTTTGTTGCATTTTTTTTGGGGAGAAAAGGGACAAATTTTTCACTGTTTGAGGGGGAGCTCTAATTTTTACTGATATTGAGTCTCAAAAATCTTTTTAATAGACATTTTGTGCTAGCCCATACTTTCGGGCTCAATTGTTACAGAACAGGCCCAACCCAAATTTCTCGCGTATTTAAGGGCCTCAGATTTCAATCGCCTCTCATCGTTCTCATTAGCTCCCTCAGAATTCTTTTCGCAAAACCAGAGCTCCAAAATCTTTCGTCTTCTCCCCAAAAATCTCTCCATCCCTCCCGATTTTCACGACCGAAGGTAGTATAACGGGTCATCTCTTTTCTCTCCTTCTCATCTCCATCACCATCGCCTTCGGCCTTGTTTCAAACGAATTTTTTTTTCGAAAAACGTTCGTAAAATCTGAAAATTAAAGGGTTTTCTTCGATTGTTTGGAGGTCGAAAACGTTTTGAATATCGTTTTTTCGTATCTGTTGTATATGTTTTTGCAGGTGGGATCGTCGTTTCGAGTTCCATGATCTCGAGATTTGGTTCTCGAGATCTCGATATCGTCGGTTCGTCTTCGAGATGAGATCTCGAGATGTAGCTCTCGACATCTGGATGTCGAGCTTCAAAACTCGAAATCTCGATCTCGAGATCTCGAATCTCGAGGTTTGGACTTATTTTTTTATAGCCCACCTGCACCCATTGTCTGGAACTTGCAAACACCAAATTTTTTTCAATTTAATCCCAAAGCAAACCAACAATGCATAAATACGCTGACCCCCTGCTTTTACAGTTCATTATGGCAGGAACACATCAAATTCAGATTGACGACGCCATCTACCCAAAAGGCAATTGGATCAAGGTGCTGGATAACAACTTCCAGCTAGACCTCACCGTCTTCAAATGCCACAACCCGGTCATTCCGGCCATCATGAAAGGTCACTATCTCTGGGCCGCACTCCACAACGCCAAACCAGTGCCAGAGATATACCTACAATAATTCTGGGGCCATATGCATACAGAATCAGTAAAGGATCGCTCCAAGATCAAGACTAAGCTGAATGGTATGCGCGTAATCCTGACGCCGTCTTCACTGCGATCCACTCTAGCGCTGCCAGTCCACGACACATATGATGCGCTGCCATCCATTCCTGATCTTCTCAAGGACGTGGCAGCTCTCGGCTACACTTCACTTCTTCCCCAGCTGTCAAACTTCAATGGAGCCTATCTCCATCACCCGTGGAAGAGCCTGTTCGGGTTGGTGAACAAATGCATGTCACCGAAGCATGCCGGGTTTGACAAGTGCAACAAGCAGATTCTACTCATCTTCCACGGCATTGCATACAACAAGAACTACGACATGGCTCAGCTCTTCTTCTCAGAGCTCATGGACCTGGTGAAAGCGAAGGAGAAAAATAGGACAGGCACCATCCCATACGCAAGGTGGCTGGGGCTGATTATCCATGACTGCATGGCAGAGCACACCTCCATTCCTAGACGCAGTGCTGATCCACACTTCACAGCCCCAAAGCTACAATATTTCAAAGCGGATAAAAACCCTGTCACCGGTCTGCGGATTCCTGGGTTCCTGCTCCAACTCGCCAATCCATCCAATCCAGCAGTCCAACAGTACCGCGAGAGCATTGAGAGAACTGTCCCTATGGTTCAGCAAAACCTAGCTGGACCTACCCCGGGGACAAAGCCGAGTGCAAGTAAGGGTCCTAAGAAAGCCCAGAAGCCACAGACACCAGTGGCCGGTTTGCCCCATGAAGGAAAGTCTGACGACTCTCTCGAGACGAGTCGGACGGCTGAGGGCACCGAAACAGATGCTGTGGAATCTGCTGATAAATCGTCAAGTGATGCCCAAACTAACACTGACGATGAGGCATCCGAGAGCGTGGGTACTGATGGCGAGGAGTCCAATTCTGATGGTGATGATGATGACAGCGACGACGTTGAGCACACCTATGCTCTAATCAGAAAGGGAAAGCTGCCCGCCGAATCTCCAAAGAAGATAACCGCTGAAGACGCAACACCCATAATCGCAGGCAGACCCAAGATCTTCACCATCAAGGAATTGCAAAATTCCAAAAGCGTACACAGAGAAACCAACAGCTCGAAGGCTGATTATGATGAAGCAGCTCATGCCATCAAGAACTCTAAGGATGCCATCATTCGGGAGAAACGGGCTAAGATCAAGAATGACAAATCTTCTAAGGCAAAGCTTCAGCCTTGCATCAGAAAGAGCCTCATAGATAAGGCTGACGACCACATATTCGTTGGCTATGATCCGTTTATCCAGATAAGCCGAGCCGAATCCCTAAGTACAGGAGCTGATCTTTTCGGTTCCCGAGTAGAAGCCGCAGCATCTGGCTCAACTGCGCATGCACAGCCCTCATCCAGCCACTCGTTAGCCTCCCAACAGGCTATCATTTCAAAAGCACGGGACTCACCCCCCTCGCTGGTTCCTTCCGAATCAGTTGAGCGTACTATTGACCAATCGTCTGAGGTCAAAACCCCTCCTTCAAACACATTGAGTCTAGGTGTCACATTTCCCACATTTTCTTCATTTTCTAGGACACCTACACTATTCACATCACATACAGGTGCACCCACCCTGAACGCAACGACCAGAGCGCAAGCTATGACGGTCGGAAGTCCTGCTATGCGTCTAATGATTCCATCATTGCACGCAGGCCACACATCAGCTATCTTCACTGATGCTGTGACAACAGTTACAACCCCCGTAACTCGACACCCCACCTTTGAAGATGTCAATGTTCTGCTAAATCGCTTCCTGGATTCCACCATCAAACCATGGGTGCAAGAAGCAATGACCGCTCTTGCACAGGAATTTAGGACCACCCAAGCGATTCAGCCTGAACACCCCACACCCCAACCTACACCCGAACCCTTCATCTCCCATACCCAACCAATATCTTCCACCACCCTCTCTCACCACTCCATCAACCAAATACCCATTCCTTCACCTTCTCAGGGAACCCATAATACAGAACCAGTATTATCCCCATGCCCGACCACACCTTCCATCGATCTCTCCACACTACCATTCGAAACCTTGGCATCGGCTTTGCTGGACCATCTCCTCAACATCCCAGAAGCCAACCTCACCCTCCATCAGCAAGCCATCCTCGATGCTCTCCTCTCTTCCCCTGAAACCAAGAGCAAGTGCCATAACAGTCCTCGTGGTCGCAAATGTTCCCATGAGGACCCCGACGATTCAGATGCTCATGAGGGGGAGAACAAGCGTTCACGAACACTCGAGCAAACTGCTTCAGCCAGCCACACTCTACTGCCCGTTCAACCAGAAACCTCTACCAACCAACAGCCACCCGTTACCAAACTTTCTAGCCTGGTCAAGCTAGATGAAACATCGCGAGGCTTATCTCCTAAAGATACCAACCGAGGAGGGGATGGAAGTCCTGATGATGCTACTACTGGTACATCTTATAAGTCAGGCCATCAGTTAGAACATCATTCGAAGCTGATGACAACGAGAAATCCTAGTGACCCCGGTGTCCCAGTTAACAGATCTCCGTCACTACAAGATCAACCAGCCACTACCATTATGTCATCAGATGAAATGCACGATCAACTTGAGGATATCATCATCCACGACAAATGGCCTAGACAGTGGACGGAGATGGATCAAATCATGCAGGATGAAGAATGCGAAAATATGCAAAGAAACTGGTTCTTACGAGAACTCATAAACAAATGTGCAGAAGATATAATCAGGCTCGAGGATGATGAACGAAAGGAAGGGGAGAACTACAAGGAAACTCAGAAAGAACTTGAATCTGTTGTCAGACAATCGGCGGGACGACTTCCCAAGACAGAGAAACCTTGGGACAATGTACGCATCAAAGCCCCCTTCCAAAGGGAAATCAGAGAGCGTATATGGCGTAGACCAGAGAAAGTCAGACCTCTGAACGAACTAAAGCTGCGTGGACTCACCCATCTCAAAGGAAAGTAGGCAGGAGGTCATCTTCATATGCTGATGCAACGGTCAACCGGGAATCAACGAGAGCTGATGGAACAGGATCTTAAATCCAACATTCTCCCAATTCATCAAATCCTACAGGTTAAGGCTGAGGATTATCATGGAGTGAGATTCTACTCTTACAAGCTTCAACGCACCGATGGGAGTGAATTTACATGTCAGGAAAACGATTTCATCATGCTCAAACCAGACGACATCTATCAAATGCTCATGGCATACAGATACCTCCCAGTCAGACAAAGCAGAACATACAACGAAGGCCTCGCAGCAATCAAGAGGTTCATGCTCAGACAAGTCAGAGTTCACTCATCTCACGACCTACAGATGGCTATCGAGTGCAACTTGACAAAAACAAATCTAACAAAGCCAAGACTGTATGGTCCAGAGCTCGAGGACTTCCCTGCATACCACATCTTCTTCACACCGCCAGCAGTCACATATCTCAACCACAAGAATGAAAAACGCCTGATGATGGTTAGTGAAGTTGAGAAATACTGTGATGGAACGCTGAAGATAATCAAAGAACAGCTGCTGAAGATGAAGGAACAACTAGAGCAAAATCTTGAGGAGGCATCGTCATACATTCAAAAGGAACACTCAACACTGGAAATCATTCTAAAAGCCATCGACGATCGCCTGGACAAGAGAAACATGCTGAGGAAATATGAGCACGCGGTGAATATGAGGAAGCACTACTTCAAAGCCCAGAAGCAATAACAAGGTGGCACTTGATCACAAAGGGGGAGATTGTTGAAGATCATTTAATTGTGAATCAAGTTTGTCACCTATCTTGTAATAGATTAGCTTTATTATTATTCCTTGTATTCAATATGTGTATTTATTAGGTTAAAGAATATGGGACCAAGTGTCAGGCCCATATCAGGCTGAAAGCCTTTTACGCCAACCCTATACCTACGCATATAAAAAGGCGTCTCACGTTTAGGGTCGCGTTAACTTTCGTACTCGTTCCAAATAGCCTTAGCGGAAATACTTCTCTGTACGAGTTCACGGTATATCAAGGAAGGTTTACATCGATCTATCTGTGTTCATCTTTACTATTAATCTTCTTCTTGTTATACTTTTATTCTATGCTGTAATAGAAAACAGGGACTAACAGTTTTCAGAGAAAATAGAGCACTTTTAGCGTAAATACAGTGTATTTTAGTAATTAGGCAATCATCCCTTGATATTTTGAAACCAGCGCCTGAAGACAAGTTTTATAACATGGTAAGATCTTTCCAAAGAGATATTAAACGCTTTCAACGGCACAAAATAGAGCAAGATATGATCGCATCAAATCTACACGAGTTCGGCGTGAAATCAAAAACATTTGTGAATATATGGTTAATCTTTAACTTTTAATTAATGCATTGTAAATGAAGTTGGAACAATAGCTTTAGAGCTCATATCTATCTTTCAAACGAGATATAATACGCTCCAAACGGATAAACACTCAGCAAGATATGAGTGTTAGAAATACTTAGCCTTATCTCTATGATTTAGCGTTTTCAGAGAAAATAGAGCACTTTTAGCGTAAGTACAGTGTATTTTAGTAATTAGGCAATCATCCCTTGATATTTTGAAACAAGCGCCTGAGTACAAGTTTTAGAACATGGTAAGATCTTTCCAACGAGATATTAAACGCTTTCAACGGCACAAGATAGAGCAAGATATGATCGCATCAAATTCTACACGAGTTCGGAGTGAAATCAGAAACATTTGTGAATATATGGTTAATCTGTAACTTTTAATTAATCCATTGTAAATGAAGTTGGAATAATAGCTTTAGAGCTACGATCTATCTTTCCAACGAGTAATAATACGCTCCAAACGGATAAACACACAGCAAGATATGATTGCCACAAATAATTAGCCTTATCTCTATGATTTAGCGTTTTCAGCGAAAATAGAGCACTTTTAGCGTAAATACAGTGTATTTTAGTAATTACGCAATCATCCCTTGTTATTTTGAAACCAGCGCCTGAAGACAAGTTTTAGAACTCGGTAAGATCTCTCCAACGAGATATTAAACGCTTTCAACGGCACAAAATAGAGCAAGATATGATCGCATCAAATTCTACACGAGTTCGGAGTGAAATCAGAAACATTTGTGAGTATATGGTTAATCTGTAACTTTTAATTAATCCATTGTAAATGAAGTTGGAAAATAGCTTTATAGCTCCGATCTATCTTTCCAACGAGATATAATACGCTCCACACGGATAAACACACATCATGATATGAGTGTCACAAATACTTAGGCTTATCTCTATGATTTAGGGTTTTCAGCAAAATAGAGCACTTTTAGCGTAAATACAGTGTATTTTAGTAATCTGGCAATCATCCCTTGATATTTTGAAACCAGCGCCTGAAGATATCTGGAGTCTATTACTAACTTTATTACTGCTTGGAACACCAAGTCTCTTTCCTATGTTGGGAGAGTTGAGCTCATTAAATCTGTAATTTAGGGTGTTCACTCTTTCTGGCTTCAAGCACTCGCTATCCCTAAGGCTGTCTTGGACAGAATCACTTCTATTTGCCGTATATTCCTTTGGGGTTGCAAATATGCTAGAGTGGCGTGGGCTGATATTTGCCTCCCTAAGGAGGAAGGTGGGCTTGGTATACATGACACCCATGTTTGGAGCTCGGCTCTTTTAGCTAAGACCCTTTGGGAGATACATATTAAAAAAGATAACCTGTGGGTTAGATGGATACATGGTGTTTATCTGAATGGTAGAGGTGTTTGGGAGTTTACACCTCATAAAAGAGACTCCCAACTGATAAAAAAGATTGCCCGGATTCGGGATCAGATTTTGAGTCATTTTGCTAGTACTCATGACGCGGTTACTTATCTTAATGGTTGCCAAAATAATGGCAAGCTATCCTCGGCTAAAGTCTATAATCTCCTTAGAATGAAGGGGCGTACCCATATGTGGATGTCTTTCATTTGGAAGAACTACATCCCCCCTAAGTTCTCGTTTACTGTTTGGTTGGCTTTCCGTAACTGGCTTGCCACTTTTGACAATTTACATAGGTTGGATGTGGTTAATATTTTCCCTTTGTGTAAGGGTGGTCCGGAAACGGTACCACACCTATTTTTTGGCTTGTTCTTTTGCAGGTAATGTTTGGCATAAAGTGAGGACATGGCTGGATATCCCAAGGGAGATGGGGACCTTACATAGCGCCATGAAGTGGATCAAGAGGAAAAGGCAAGGAGCGGGCGTAAAGGCTAAAGCTGCTAGGATTGCTTTCTGCTATTCCATCTATTGGATTTGGAGAACCAGGAATGCTACCTTTGATGGCCTTGTTCCTAAAGAAGATGATGTTTTTGAAAAGATTCAGCATATTGTTTATAAATTGATGTATAAGCTCTACCCTTATGAACTTGTCCACATTTGATGTGCTGCGTTTTTGACCATCACGTGTTTTGTGATTGGACCTTGTAAGCTGCAGGTTCTTTTGGTTGGTTTGGTGCCTCACCCTCCTGTTTTTGGGTGTTGGCCGTGGGCGTTTTTGCTGTTTGGGAGAGGTTATCCTTGTTGGATAACCTTGCATTTTTGTCCCCTTTTTTTTTGTACATTCTTCCACCCCCCCTCTTCTCTTGGGTGTGTTATTAATATACTTACCGTTCACCCAAAAAATTGAAACCAGCGCCTGAAGATAAGTTTTAGAACTCGGTAAGATCTTTCCAACGAGATATTAAACGCTTTCAAAGGCACAAAATAGAGCAAGATATGATCGCATCAAATTCGACACGAGTTCGGAGTGAAATCAGAAACATTTGTGAATATATGGTTAATCTGTAACTTTTAATTAATGCATTGTAAATGAAGTTGGAACAATAGATTTAGAGTTCTGATCTATCTTTCCAACGAGATATAATACGCTACAACCGGATAAACACACAACAAGATATGAGTGTCACAAATACTTAGCCTTATCTCTATGATTTAGCGTTTTCAGCGAAAATAGAGCAGCTTTAGCGAAAATACAGTGTATTTTAGTAATTAGGCAATCATCCCTTGATATTTTAAAACCCGCGCCTGAAGACAAGTTTTAGAACTCGGTAAGATCATTCCAACGAGATATTAAACGCTTTCAATGGCACAAAATAGAGCAAGATATGATCGCATCAAATTATACACGAGTTCGGAGTGAAATCAGAAACATTTGTGAATATATGGTTAATATGTAACTTTTAACTAATGTATTGTAAATGAAGGTTGAACAATAGCTTTAGAGCTCCGATCTATCTTTCCAACTAGATATAATACGCTCCAAACGGATAAACACACAGCAAGATATGAGTGTCAGAAATACATAGCCTTATCTCTATGATTTAGCGTTTTCAGCGAAAATAGAGAACTTTTAGCGTAAATACAGTGTATTTTAGTAATTAGGCAATCATCCCTTGATATTTTGAAACCAGCGCCTGAAAACAAGTTTTAGAACTCGGTAAGATCTTTCCATCTAGATATTAAACGCTTTCAACGGCACAAAATAGAGCAAGATATGATCGCATCAAATTCTACACGAGTTCGGAGTAAAATCAGAAACATTTGTGAATATATGGTTAATCTGTAAGTTTTAATTAATGCATTGTAAATGAAGTTGGAACAATAGCTTTAGAGCCCCGATCTATCTTTCCAACGAGATATAATACGCTCCAAACGGATAAACACACAGAAAGATATGAGTGTCACAAATACTTAGCCTTATCTCTATGATTTAGCGTTTTCAGCGAAAATAGAGCACTTTTAGCGTAAATACAGTGTATTTTAGTAATTAGGAAATCATCCATTGATATTTTGAAACCAGCGCCTGAAGACAAGTTTTAGAACTCGGTAAGATCTTTCAAACGAGATATTAAAGGCTTTCAACGGCACAACAAAGAGCAAGATATGATCGCATCAAATTCTACAAGAGTTCGGAGTGAAATCAGAAAGATTTGTGAATATATGGTTAATCTGTAACTTTTAATTAATGCATTGTAAATGAAGTAGGAACAATAGCTTTAGAGCCCCGATCTATCTTTCCAACGAGATATAATACGCTCCAAACGGGTAAACACACAGTAAGATAAGAGTGTCACAAATATTTAGCCTTATCTCTATGATATAGCGTTTTCACCGAAAATAGAGCACTTTTAGCGTAAATACAGTGTATTTTAGTAATTAGGCAATCATCCTTGATATTTTGAAACCAACGTCTGAAAACAAGTTTTAGAACTCGGTAAGATCTTTCCAACGAGATTCAATTTCAACGACCCAAAATAGAGCAAGATATGATCGCATCAAATTCTACACTTTGTAATAATAATAATAATAATAATAATAATAATAATAATATTAAAATATAAAATAACAATAATAACAATAATACCCCTAATAATAATAATAATAGTAATAATGATGATAATAATAATAATAGTAATAATTATAGTAATAATAATAGTAATAATAATAATAATAGTAATAATAATAATAGTAATAATAATAGTCATAATAATAGTAATAATAATAATAATAATAATAATAATAATAATGATGATGATGATGATGATGATGATGGTAATAATAATAATAATGATAATAATAATAATAATGATAATAATAATAATGATAATAATAATAATAATAATAATAATGATAATAATAATAATGATAATAATAACAATGATAATAATAACAATGATAATAATAACAATGATAATAATAACAATGATAATAATAACAATGATAATAATAACAATGATAATAATAACAATGATAATAATAACAATGATAATAATAACAATAATGATAATAATAATGAAAATAATAATAATAATAATAATAATGATAATAAAAATAATAATGATAATAATAACAATGATAATAATAACAATGTTAATAATAACAATGATAATAATAACAATGATAATAATAACAATGATAATAATAATAATAATGATAATAATAATAATGATAATGATAATAATAATAACAAAATAATAATAATAACAAAAAAAAAATAATAATAATAATAATACT